TGCAGCAATGCTCTGTTCACATGCAGGCGTTCATCTTTGACATCACTTCCTGTTACTGTACACGAGAATATCTCAGTTACTGTTTATCTTAGTGTTGTAAAATTATTTATACAGTATTATTATTGTCGTCTTTCCAAAAATGCATTCTTATTTATTCCAAAGTTTGATGTCACATGCACTTTAAAGACCTAACCTCAACACGTAAGATATTAATTGTTCATGACCTCTCCACAGAACCTCACTTTGGAAGATCTGAACTATCCCTTTAAGGCTTTGAAACGAGCAGCTGAGCAGAATGAAGGAAAGCAGACGTCTGACGAGAGGAGGCAGATTAAAGATGAAGAAGAAGGAGAAGAGAGATGGCTCTCTGTGTGTGTGTTAGAACAAGGAAAACAAATTCAAGTGAAAACACTCGAAACAAAAGATAAGCAGACTGAGTTCAGAGGATGATGTTTGTTACTAACACGTGACAGTGAAGGAATCAGAACCATCCAGCCCTGAAGAGGATGTGGAGAACATGACTCCATCCAGGGCTGCTGAGGAGGACACAATCAAAAATGGCCGACGAGAGGATCAGGAAAAGAGAATTTTACGAGTGTCCCTCTAAACGGAAGGCATCAGACTGAATAAACCAGACAGATGTTGATTTTTCAAGACAAACTGGCATTTATAAAACAATAGATTGTTTTTGATTAAAGAGATCAGCAGATAGAGGTGAGCCTTCATTTTTGTAGATCAGGGGTCTGCAACCTGCAGCTCTGGAGCCACATGTGGCTCTCTGGTCCCTCTGCAGCGACTCTTTAAAGCCATGACCAAAACTAACAGAAAACTGAATTTTATTGGTTGTTAAACAAAAAAGTTCTAGTTCCACCAGCTTTCCTGTCATTTCTTTTGCAAATACTTTAACGTTTTGCTTTATTCCTATACTTGTTTTTTTTTCCACGTTTTAAAAAATGACATAGGTCTGCATAGTTCATAGTTGTCGTTTAATTAAAAAAAAACTATTTTCCCCCTCTCTTTACAATAATCTGGTTTTGTGCCCTGCCTGGTAACATCTGGATAAGCTGAGAGCGCAATTTATCAACCGTTTGTTAGGACAGGCTGAACATTTAGCCTTTACACCGACGTGCTGCAGTTTATCAGATACATGTGGTCATTTTGGTCACAAAGAATGTCTGAAGGCCTAACTGACTTGGAAAAATATGCTTTTAATTATCGGTCATTAATCCTCAGCTGTTAATTTTAATTGTTTTGTTTAATTAGTTTATTTAATTGTTTAATTACTACAAACTTTAGCAGTATGACATCAAAGTTCATGCTCAATAATCCAGGTAAAAAAATATCCAACAAAGTTCAGTCAGGTCTTCTAGATGTTTTTTTTATCACCAGCAAACTGGTTGGTCCACTATGTGAGTGTGCTGCTTATGGGACTGAGTTTGTTGTGTCTCCTTGAACTGATGAAGTCCTTTGGATGAAGAACAAAACGTCTCAACAAAAAAAGAAGAAACCGTCCAGAGGACCTGACTTCATATAGTTGGATTTAGCAGTATGACTTATTTGCTTACATTGGGTGGATGATTAAACATGTGGTACTTCAATGTTCCTCGTCACTGAGGGATCTGAATAGTGAATGTTTGTAGTTGTAGAGATGAGAGTTTTTCAGAGCTGGAATTGAACTGAGAATGTGAATTAACCTTAACGTGTTTCATGCAACATATTCAAGTGGGTAGAAGTTACACTGTGGAGAAGAGCAGGGGGAGGATTGTAGGCAGCGCACACACCAAAATGGAAGTCACATCTCACATTTTCTTTTTTGTTACAATTGTCACAACACAAACAGGAGTGGATAAGTTCCACTCCTCGCTGCGACAGGGCACATTAAAGACGTAGCAGTCCTTGAAGTAACGCCTCCATTGTGTCAGAGTTTTAGATCATGTTTTTCTGTAGCCACTTTGGTGAAACCTTCAATGTGTGTGATGTTAAGCAATAATTTGAGGTGTCCTGCAACATGCTAATGCTCAAAGTACTTGTTCTTTCACACCAAAGTCTGGTTCAATACTTATAAAACTTTAGTCATTTTAGTGCGGGACATTTAACTGTGGCGTAACTGTTTTGGTGACAGACAGACAAAGAGAAACCCAAGAAAAAAAAAAAGCTAGTTAAATTCAGTGTTTTTTAATGTGTTAAGTCTATAAAGCGTCATGAGGCCACTGACTGCTCCAGCCTGTGGGTCACAACAAAACACCAGACAAACGGACGTTCCTCGTCAACTCCGTGATTTTAAAACCAAAACAAGAAAGATGTTTTATTCTCTTCAGCCTGCTGGAAATAATTTGTGCACCTGATTTATCCATGGAGGCTGCATGCAGCCTGGAAACACATCAGTTTAGTTTCTCACTGGGCAGCTGAATGGAAATGTTCCAGTATATACAGTATTTACCATAACACACTGCCAGTAAACATGGTGCATGCTTCCTAAAGGCTTTGGTCCCTCAGATATATTTTCATTCACCGGCAGCTGAAAAGTCGAGTGAAATGTGTTTTTGTTGTTTGAAAGCTCTGGACAGAACGAGTCTGAAGGGGCAGCGTCACCATCAGAGCGAGGTCATCTGTTCAGAACACGATATGCTCGGACCCCAGGAATGGTCGACAAAACATTTCACCAGCATGGAGTGATGTAAACTGCACTCATGTTAATAAACGCTTCCTTAGGTCGGGCTGTTATGGTTTGGTAAATTATTAGTATATTTCCGTGCATGTGTGGCAATCACTCTCGTCATGTTCCATTCATGGGGAGTAGTCCCAGACCCAGACCGTCACCTCGTCTGTTTGCTTCGACACCTTTGCCCTCAGTCTTTGTGATTCAGGCTGTGTGGAGAGGAGGAAGATGTCACAGTAACCTCTTCCTCGTTTCTTTTTAAAAGGAGTGGTTTACAACAACTCATTACGTCCAGGTTTTCACATTTAAGATGATTCATGTTCAAGAAGTTACCAAAAACCACAACTAATTTTTCTTTAACACTCTTTTCAGAGCAGACTACTTGACAACAACTTTTTTAAACAAAAAACTGAATTTAGTCAGTTTATGAAACAATTTAATATCCTAAAGAGCTCATAAACTTTAAAGTGGAGTCTGTGGAAAGGTTATGAACAATAAATATCTTACCTGTTGTAGATAGCTCTTTGAGTCACCTGTTTGGAGAAATAATTTTATTTTGGCCAGACTGATGAGCTAACAGCTAGTTTATATGGGGCCAAAAGCCAATAAGCCACGACATTCCTGCAGGAAGTGCACCGGGACGCACCAGATATGATACAGCTAGCTGCTGCTGCTCAGGCTAGCAGTAAACGTCTATTTCTCCAAACAACGGTCATTTATGACCAGTCGCATCAAACTGAGGATTAAGTCGCAAAGTGGTTGTAGAAATAAAAAGCAGCTTTAGTGCATTGGTTGAAAATTTCTTCAGAATTGCATTTAGTCAAATATGAGGACTAAATTCATTATCTATGGGTCCGTTGACTGAAATATCCTAAATATAACCCTAAAGAACATTTTGAAGCACTTTTCTCTGCAGAACCAATAGTTAATGATTTGGAGCACAGAAGAAATACATTTCCACTTCTTTCCTTGAACACTAATGAAGTATTTTTTTTCTTTCCAGCTGGGAAATCTTTAAATACATGATATCTAAACATGGTTTCAAATTATGTCAAGACGTCCTCCTTAGAAAACAATGGGTCAGATCGATTTCCCAGGGGTTATCTGGAGTAGCAAGACCATATCTCAGGAACTGCTAACGATGAGAATGATCAAAATGTAGCTTAAAAAGCTAGAAATCTGAAATTGTGCTTCGTTCATTTTGATTATCGTATTTTTCACTGCATAAGTTGCACTTTTTGGCATAAAGTAGCACGCCTGCGACTTATACAGCGAAGCGACTTATTTCCGTTTCCCCATATTTATAACCCAAATTTTGGCTGAGATCTGACGATTTAATTCATTCTGGCACATAAAATATTGAACACTACCATTTCCAGCCACTACAGGGCGTTTAAGTAATATGGCAACCCCAGTGTCTCATTAATAGGTAAAAGTGGCTATTAATTAAACACTTGGCTTGCCATACCAAGCACCTTTGTCTCGCTCCAGACCTCCTGGAGCAAACATCAAATCAGCTGCATTTGGCCGCGACGCCCAGGCGAAATGCAGCTGATTTGACCATCAAAGAGCATTTAATAAGCAAACGTTTTACTGAGACATACCTTTACTATAATTTAGAGCAAACAAAGAATTATTTTTAAGTGTTAATCTTGTTAAATTATTGTTAAAGTCCTCTCGTGCATGTTCCCGCGGCTGCCATTTGGCAGCCAATCGATTTTTGGCACAACACTGGTCTACACTTCCAAGTGTCAGCAGTGATGCATAATAGATGTGACTTATACAGCGAAGCGACTTATTTATGTTTTTTCCACTTTATTAGACATTCTTGGACTGATGCGACGTGTACGATGGAAAGTACGGTAAATATGACTGAATCCTCAAGTCACATTCAAACACCTGTCTACAACAGGGCCTTTCCTTAGAACCACACATCTACAGATACAAGTCATCACCTTAAGATTAAATCTTCTTCATGCCAAACAGGTGATAAAAATGAGATAAAATGTGCATTTACCTTTACACAAACCTACTGTTTAAGAAAATGATTAACATACAGGAGTAGGAAACGTCACTAAACAAACATCTTTGTTCTGGAACATTTGATTTCTACTGCAACACGATCCATTTCACCAACACGTTTAAATAACTCAGAAACTAATTCAGTGCTCAAGTTCAAGTCCTTTTTGTTTCACAGCATCAGGTAATTACTTTTTAACAAACATTCTGCAACAAGTCCACAACTACAATTTATTGTTCATCCAAAAACAAAGTCACATTAGGCAGAGGAGACATTTCTAACATTTGAAGAAATGGACGTGAAGCAGAAACATAAACCGGATCACGATGGAACCACACCGACACAGTCCTCCACCATCGCAAACAGAAAATAATGTGGACCACTGCGTCGGGCCACGTCCCCGGCCGTCTCCCCGCTGCTGCTGCGCAGCCCGGGCCTCAGGTTTCGCTTTGACAGGAGCAGCTCTAAAACGTGCGTGGAGTCCATCGCCGAGGAGCTCGTGTAGGAAGCCGCCAGGTGGAGTGGCGTGAGCCCACCGTTGGTCTGGGCGTTAAGTTCAGCGCCGTGCTGCAGGAGGACGCTTGCCACCGCGACGTGGCTCCATCGACACGCGCTGTGCAGGGGCGTCCAGCCGTCGATGGTGCGAGGGTCCACGCTGGAGCCGCTGGCCAGTAAGGCTCGAACCACTTCAACATGGCCGCTGTACGCCGCACGGTGCAGCGGGGTGTAACCGTCCTCATCGCAGCTGTGCACCAGTGAAGGATCGGCCGTTAACAAACGGACGACGGTTGGAAGCTGAAAAAACATCAAAGATTTTGAGTCAGAAATGATCACATTCATAATTATTAAACACCATCTGCAAAAAAAGATAAAACTTTTTAAACTGTTACAATCCACAGACTATAAAAGCATCTTAAACACTAAAAATGTGTCAAAAACCGTCGTCAGCAACGTTCCACTTCTGTCAAATACACTCAAACACACAGCCCACTAAAAACACATGATTTATTCCTACAAATAAAAATGTTCCCATTCAGTTGATCAACATTTTAATGTTGATATTTCAGTGAACTGGGGTCTTCAGACAAGCGGTTTTATTCAAAACCACTCAATGTGACTAAAACTAAACTACAAGGAGATGGTTTATTAATCACAGGCAGTACTCCGACGTCCCCCGTCACTGAGGGATTTGAAGTGAATGTTTGTAGTTTCTGAGACGAGTGTTTTTCTGGACTGGAATTGAACAGAGAATGAAGTAAACCTAAATGTTTTTGCTGCGAGATGGAAGTGGGGAGGAGTTGCTCTGTGGAGAACAGAGGGAGGCTCTTTTTCCTTGTCCAAGGAGGCGCAGGGTGATGGATCCTGGAGAGTGAAGGGAGTCATTTTACACACCACCAGGATGGTGGAGCCAGGGGGTGACCATAGGTGTCCTTAGCCACCATCCAGGGTGGCTAAGGACACCTATGGTCACCCCATCTTCAGCCACCCCCAGTCATTTGAGGAAACTAAACTTTTCATCTATTTAAAAAGTAGAAAGCACAGCGTCCTCAAAAGACGGTGTTGGTCATTTTATACGCACACACAAGTTTGTCTTTCTGTCTTTACAGAGAATTTGCACTGACGTCCATTCATTTTTCATACAGTTCTATAATCTAACACATCCTCTATTCACACCTTAGTCCTGAAGCTAACCCAGCAACAACACTGCTCCTTATGGGGCCTGGGCTTTGGGTCCCACAAGGAGCAGTTGGTCCTCACAATGTGTTGGAGAGATGGGCCTTACAAAGTAAAACAAACACACACACTGACACACATCTTGGAATTTGATGTAACAAATCAATTTTGATCTTTTTGACACCTACATGCAGCCACACGCCAAAATGGAAGTTACTTATTTTTCAAGTTATCATGCTCACAACACGGACGAGCAGAGGGTGTCTCAGCTACCTCTGTGATGGGGACAAAAAGGTTCAGTTTACAACATCGGGTCAGAGTCTTGTGTCTCCAGCAGCTTCTTCCAATAAAAAGCTGCTGGTCGGTCGGCACACATCACATCTTAGCCGAGTGCTTTCTTTTGTTGTTCTTAAGTAGATAAACAAAAAGCAGCAATTCTTAAATAAAGTATTAATATTTATGATCAGACACATTTTCCAGAGAGAAAGCAAAGTGTTCACTAATGCTTCAAATCAAAAAGCCTTCAGGACTTAAACTGCACTCAGATGTGATGAAGATGAGACCTGGGTCTTTGTTGACATTTATTATTCTGACCCGTTAAAAATGACTGACTCTGCCACCTGGTTTGATTCATTCTAATCTAAGTTCAGCTTCAAGTGGTTAAAAATAAAACATGAAAGGTTTGAAAAGATCACTGGCTGCAATGTTCGACTCCCTCCTGCAGCTCTCAGACGTGCAGACAGAAAACAACCAAACAGCTGCACTTCTGTTAACAGAACGATTTACGGCAGCCATTCACTCAAACAACACGTCTATCAATGTCACACAAGTGAGCCGTGCTCATTTCACACCGTTCAGACAAAAACAGCTCAAGTCACTGAAATATGGGAGCCGTTTGTGAATGCATCTTTTGCTTCCATTTGCATTCGACCCGGTGCAATTAGCTTTTTATCTCATCTTAGAATCGCTCCCTGGTTCAGAAACAGCCGAATTAATGCAATATTCTAACTCCCACAATGAAGCACAGCAGAGATAGAGGCACCAGTGGAAGATGATGGGAGCATGGGAGGCTGAATAAACCCAGTTCACCAATAACTACATGTGGAGAATGGAGATTAGTACTGGTATTACCAAAAATCGTACCATCGCTTTTTTTGAGTGGATTATCCCATTCTTATCAACGTTATTACATTTTAGTTTCTGTTTTATAGGAAAAAGCTTTCTTATGATTTTACTAAACCAAGGTAATAAAGAATTTAAAACCACACACTGCAGCTGTTAGCTTCACTACTAATTAATTATTCTTAAAGCTAGTTCAAGCACAAAGAATACCTGAAAGAACACCTGAAATCACCTCAGGACATCTTTACAGTCAGACTAAATTGGAATGTTAGAAATGTAAACGGCTTCTGGTAGAATCTGTAATGGATCTGATCTGGAGACACAAGTAGCTACTACAATTACATAATGCCATGTCTCTTCTTTTGGCTGTTCCCTCTTCAGGGGTCTCCACAGCAAGTCATCCTCCTCCATCTCACTCTGTCCTCTGCATCCTCCGTCCTCACTCCAACTACCTCCATGTCCTCTCTAACTGCATCCATATATCTCCTCTTTGTCTTTTTCCTGGCAGCTGCATTTCTAGCATCCTTCTATCAATATACCCACTGTCCCTCCTCTGGACATGTCCAAACCATCTCAGTCTGTCGTCTCCAACATCATCTCCCAGTCCTTGAACCTGTGCTGCTCTGTCTCCAAGCCATACAACATAGCAGGTTGGGCATCAGGTGTCGAGATTCGACTGGAGCCAGTACTAACATTCAGATTCTCCTGGAATCGTTCAAAATGTTACACTTCAGTTAGTTTTGATACCCAGTCTGCTGACTAAAAGAAAAAACCACTGAACACCAAGGAAGAAGAATCTGCAGAAACTGTGTGCGCAACCATGGACAGCGTGCGGTGGCGATCAACAGTGTGTCTTAATGTCAATAAAAGAAATGACCAGTTGGCTCAGTGCAATAAGATTATATTGTGCAAAGGAGGGTGCATAACCAACATGATCCAACACCTCTGGATTCTTGGTTTAGAAGTAACAGTGTCCAGTCTTTGAAGCGCTGCACCAGCATTCCTCCGCTGCCCCCTCCTCCAGCTCCGACCATCAGTCTAGCACCACACTGTCAGAATCAGAATCAGAATAAACTTTATTGGTATTGCACCGAGATACAACGCAAATATGTACGTACAGTCGTCCGAAGATGGGCGGAGTGCACGAAGCTGCGGCTAAAATAATCAGCGCGGCCTTCTTACTCTTATTCAGAATAATATTTTGCTTAGATAAGAAAAGGAAAGAAAACATGAGGAGAGACGGTATAAAAAAAAGATCTCTCACATCGTGTCCTAGACAGAGCACAATTTGAGACATCAAAAAAACCTACCACAGCAAAGCAACATAAACAGACGTTATACATTTACATATAGGAGGTGAAAACATTGAATTTTTAAGGAAAAGTCGGAGCATAGTCTGGGCCCCCCCCCCCCCCCCACAGCCATTGTCCAGATAAGAGGTGACGTTCATCTTCAGCTCAGTTGAGGCTCTGTTACATGTCCACGGCCTTGGGGAAGGGAGGGGTGAGGAAACAGTCAAAGCATCTTTGTTGTTTTCAAAACATTCCAGGAGGAGTTGAGATAAGTCCGGCATCAAGGCCACAGTTTGGGTCAGGCAGAACTTATGAATTGTTGTTTCTGCCTTTTTAAATTCTTGCTGGTACATATTCTCTGATGGAAACTCCAAAACAGCCGAATTGATCCTTTACTCCAAAAGTCGAGCTCACAGCTTCTCCAGATTATTCCACCATCCATGAGTGCTGCCAGGAAGATCACAGTCCTGATAACAGCTGCTCCAACTCCCTGTCACAGCTCCACATTCAGTCCGAGCACTGTCAAGCTTCAACACCTCCACATGAATTTGTAGACAACCAGATTCCACCAACCCAAACAGTAGAATCTAGTTGTCATCATGAATCCAATTTGTCCTTCAGAGTTCAGAGGGTCCTCCTTACTCTGACTCCTGTCAGGAGAAGTTGATCGATTTTGTTGAGAGACCAGCTGATCCTTTCAATTAAGAGGTATGCAGGAAAAAAAAAGAGGCTTTTTTAAAGGGTTCACAGGACAAAAGAGCGCAGCAGGGAAGCGGGTGGGGGAGAGAGAGGGAAAACACGTCTGGTTTCATCGTAGAGTAGCAAGAAAAAAAAAAAAAACTATCAGGTAATCAGGTAACTAAAACAATAACATACATCTTATACCAACACTGAGGCAGCTAACAAGTTATCAGCGTAAAACAGTGGGTCAACTCAAATGCAATGCTAATGTTAGCCCATGTATTATTTCATAGACAAAAAACTGCTAACATTAGCCAGGAAGTTGACCAGACTCCGCGATGTGCTACTCTGTTCACCATAGCGTCCAAGGGAAAGATGTAACAAATTGCAGAGTGCCTCAGAACGGTTACAGCATATACCGTGAAAAGTTTGCATCCCTTTTCAGATGTGGAATCACTATTATGTTATTCCAGTAATACTAATTATGTTAGTTAGGAATAACAATAGAGCTAAGCTAATTAATGGTCCGCCCTGAGCTAACGTTACAGTAACAGTGACATTATATGCTTGTTTAGATGTTTGAAGGGACATGGTGAAAACCATCAACCCAAAGTACACACCACCTACCAGAGACTACTTGCCAAATAAATGAATCCCTTCTTGGTATAAGGTGTAGAAATCCACTGTGATTAGAGCTCAGTGACATCTGCTCTGTTGCACTCGCCGGTGATGGCTGGAGTAGCATCACACAGGACCAGTACCTTACCATCACTGAACACTTTATAGTGGAGGACAAAAAGAAGCAAAAAGTACTAAAAACAGCAGCTTTGTACAACACTCAGACTGGTTTGTGTTGTGGCAGAGGAAATCAGTGATGTTCTGTCACAGTTTGGCATTTCTGACAAAACTGTAGCAATCACTGGAGATAATCAGTCAGAGATTTATTTGTCATACACACTAAATATAATGCTGCCAGTATGGATGTGGCCATTAAGCACCTGCAGTTCATGAAACTATGCTGCTTTG